CCTGGCCCGCCGCCCGGCCGGCTCCCGGCATGCCCCGGGGCTGCCTGGGGCCTGGGGAGGGGGTGAGGGGAGCCGGGAAGCGCGTCCCAGAGATTCCTGGGACCCGGGCATCGCCCCCACTCCCCGCCGGGCTCTCCCGGGAAACTGAGGCCCGGGGACCAGGGTCAGGGCTCGTTCAAGGTCACCGGGCGAGGCGTAGAGGAGCTCCCTAGGTCCGCAGGCCCGCTCGGGGAAGGGGTCGGCACTGTACCTCCCCCAGGCCCGGGTCCCCCTCCCCCTCTTCGCGGACCCTGGGGAGCCCCCAAGGGTCAGAGAGCAGACCCAAACAGTCTGGCACCATAGCAACCGGATAGCCCCGCCCCCTTAACCCCTGGAGGGCTGGACTCCAGCTGGGGCGAGGGAGGAGGTGGGGACCCCTGGGTTCCGGGGCAGGACCCCCACACCCCCTACCCCAATCCAGGCTGCTAGATCCTGGGGATCTGGACTCTGGGTTCTAGAGGAGGAAGGGTTTGGGGTCCATTCCTAGGGAGGAGGGGCTGGGGTTCTGAACTCGGGTTTCCAAAGTGGGTGGGGGTTACGGTGTGGACTCCTAGGTCTGAGCGCAGAAGGCGGAGGTGGGGGTGGACTCCTGGGTCCTGGGAAACGTTGGCTAGGGGTTCGGATTCTGGAATTCGGGAAGGGGCAGGGTGGTGGACTCCCAGGTCTGAGGGAGGAGGGGGCTGAGGCCTGGAATCCCGGGTCCCCAAGGGAGCCTGGACGCTGGGCCTCTCCTCCGCCAGACATCCCCTGCCCCCGGCGCTGACCCGGGCCTGTCTGGCAGCCCAGACAACCTCCCCCTCCTCCTCAGCCCCCCTCCCACTTGCACGGCTCACCCTTGACCCCTCAAAGCCCCGCAGCCCCACCCCTCCCCCTCCCCTCCAGCCAGACGTTAACCGTTCCGCTGCCGGAGGCACCTCCAACGCCAGACTGTCTTCCTCCACCTCCCCAGAGGTCTGGGCATCTGTCCCTCAGTCCCTTCCACCCTCCGATCCTACCTATCCCAGCCCACCTCTCTCCTCCCTCTTGAATCTAGGAGACGTTCCCAGCTTTTGCAGCCTCTGGACCCCGGAATTCAGGTCCCTACCCCCTCTTTCAGTGATTCCCAGCCCCCCAGCCCCAAGAACCCAGAAATCCAGGCCCCGCAGCCTCCTCCCTTGGGGACCCTGGAGTCCGGCCCAAGCCCCATCCCCCTCTGGTTCCGCAGACTCACGGCTCCCGCGGCTCCCGCGTCGGGGGAAGGGGTCTCCTCCACTAGCCCTGGGCCCGGCGGGAGGCCGGCCGCCACCGCGAGTCCTCTCCATCCTCTCCCGCCTCCGCCGCCCGCGGCCTCTCCCCTTCCTCCCGCCGCCCCGCCATCCTCCTCCCGGTCCCCGCTCCCTCCGGCCGGCGCCTCCCGGCTCTGCGGTCCGGGGCTCCCCTCCCAGGACCCCGCTTGGCGGCGCGGTTCGGACCAGCCCCCTCCCCGGGGGGCCCCCGCCCGGCCCCTCCCCGCTGCCCAGCCCAGTCCGGCCTGGCTTCCCCCCTGCCCCGGAGCTGGCCCCGGTCCAGGGGAAAAAATTCCATCCAGCCCCGGGGAGGAGGAGCGGGGCGGAGGAGGGAGCGGGGAGGGGAGGCCGGGCCAGGGGAGCATGACGCAGGGAGGAGGGAAGGGACAAAAGAGAGGCCGGGAGGCGGCGGGCGGCCGGCGCGCCCACTGCTCCCTCCCTCCTCCCTGGCCAGTCCCCGTCCTCTGGCGGCGGCTTTCCCTCGGTCCCCTCCGCCTCTCCTCCTTCCCTTCTCCGGCCTCCTCCCTCTTCTCGCCAGCCTCCCTCCTGGCCCTGCGCGATCTCTCGCGCCTCTCCCTCCGCTCGTGTCATTGTGTCATTCTTTCTCTCCTCCTCGCTCGGGTCTCGGTACGTCTGTCCTTCCACTGCCGGCGTGTCTTCGTCCTCCGCGCTGGGGCTACGGGTCTTCGCGTCTTACTCTCCCTCTCTGCCGGTCCCCCTCCCGCTATGTCCCCTGGCTGCTCCCGGGGCTCCATCCTCCCCTTCTCCGGCCTCCTCCTTCCCGCTCTCCTCTCCCCTACACCTTCCCCAGGCAGGGTCTGCAGTTCCCGCTCCCTCTGCTCGCCCAGCCTCCCTCCCCTCGCTGAGGTTCGGCACCCCCGCCCCCCACTGGGGACGCGAAGGTGAATCAGACCCAAACGTGCCCTTGCAGCGGGAGCTCACGGTGTGATGGGAGAGACAGACCCAGCCGCAGACAGTCCCATTCCGGGGTGATGGGGTGTGACCGAGGGCAAGACCAGAGGCTGAGAGAGCCGGGGCGGAAGGAATCCTCGCCGCAGGTCCACCAGGGAGGACCTCCAGAGAAGGCGTGGTTGTGGCGTGACCTCCGAGAACCAGAAGTTAGACCTGAATTGTTGAGAGGGGCAGCAGTAAGGGCGTTCCAGGCCCAGGGCACAGCTTAAGCAAAGGCCCAAAGGCAGGAAACCAAGGTGATTCCGGAGGACAACAAAGCAGTCAAGTCTGACTAGAGCGGTAGGGGCCGGGAGCCAAGGAGCGTAGAAGAAGCTGGGGTGAGTGGGCGGGGCCGTTCTCAGCGTGTCCAAGGCCAGGCTGGGAACTTAGTCTTCCCAGAGTGACAGGGAGCCACGGAGGGTTGTGAGCAAGGGGAGGGACGGGGAGATATGGATGGGGTAGGACCAGCGGGCAGAGAGGACCCTGAGGGACTGGGCACTGCTGGGTGGTGGATGAGGGTGAGGAGCCAGAGGATGGGAGTTGTTCCCAGCGGGGAACCAGGACGAAGAAGAGGGTGGAGGAGAGAGAACACGCTGTGGGCAGCTTAGAACCTCGGGGAACGTTAGGGGCTGGGCACATTTAGGGAGGACATTGAGGCAGTGGTAGATTTATGGTTCTAGGGCTTCCCCCCCCGTTGCCCCCGGCCTTCCGTTTTTTTGGGGCCACTTTTTGTTTCCAATTTTCTTGGGCTTTTTTCCAGAGGAATTCTTACACCTATGCAATATGTTATACCATCCTCCTCTTTCTTGTCCCCAGATGGAATCACGTTATTCTGCACCTTGCTTTTTTTAAAAAAAAAAAAAACAACACTATGCCCCAAAGATTCACCCACATCCATGCCATTAGAGCTCCCTCGTTTGTTTAAATGGCTCTATAGTATTCCATTTATTTATCCATAATTCATGCAATCAGTTGAGAGACAGGGAGTTGAAACTAATGAATATTGCCTATTCAAATCTTCTGGTTTGTGTGTTTTTTTAAAAATTGATTTCATTCAGTGTTTTTAAGCCTCTGAAACTAGCTATTTGATAAATACCTCCAGGTGTTTTAATTTTTTTTATAATTACTACAGTGGTGCCCCCTTATTTAGTTCCATTTTCCAAAGTTTCAGGTATCCACAATGAACTGTAATTTGAAACATTACAAAGAAAATTCCAGAAATAATTGACAAGTTCTAAATTGTGCCTTAATCCAGGCAGTGTAATAAAATCTTGCACCATCATTTCCGGAACCTCTGTCATCCTGTGGACAGGTGTATCCCCCTGTGTATGCCACATGCCCATTCAGACTTTCAGTAGCTGTTTCGGATTGAGTTAGCAGATTGCCTTTTGTGACACTTCAGGGTTGTGTTTTACACAAGCCTTGTTATACTTAATCGTGGTCCCCAAGTACAAGGATAGTGATGCTGATAATTTTATTACAAAATATTGTTATAATTGTTCTATCCTATGATTGTTGTTAAGCTCTTACTGTACATAATTTGTGAATTAAAACTTTATCATATGTATGCATGTATAGAAAAAAGAAAACATAGAGCATTTGGTACTATCCAAGGTTTTAGATGTTTATTGGGGGTCTTGGAACATATCGTGTTCCCTCCGTGGTAAGGGGGGAATACTTGGATGACAGAAATAATAATGTGAGAACTCATACCCTTTATTGAATGACTACTAGGGGCAGTCCCTACACCAGGTATTTGCTATGCATTACATAATTTTTCACATGGCCACCATGTTATTAGAAACAGTTATTATTTCCATGTAAGAACAAGGGACTTGAGGTTCTGAATAGTGAGTTGTCCAAACTTACAAAGTCGGTAACAAAGCTGGAGACTTGAACCGAGGCCTCTCTGACTCTAAGTACCATGACTTGGGGCTGGGGTTCTTCCTCTGTGAAAATGTGCTACTTCTAGGGGTTGATGTTGTGCTCATGCGGACTTGTCATGCTCACAAATTCATGTGTGATTTCAAAGGACCCTTTGTCAGACCCTGTACTTTGGTATCTGGAATTCTGTCCCTCTGCACTCACCTTAGATGCCCTGTGGTCAGGTCCGGACAGCAGCGGTACAACCATGCTGACCTTGTCCTGCCCTGATCCTGGTGTGTTGTGATTTTGGTGTCTGGGTCTGTCTCTGGGAATACACTGAGGGCACAGTCTAGGTCTGAGTCATCTCTGCATCCTCAATATCACCCAATGTAGGTGTGGCTCAGAGCAGGGTCTCGGGAAAATGTTAAGTGAATGAATCGGTGGATGGGTTGTGCTGGGACTTTGCTGAAGTCCCTGGGATAAGAGAACATCATTCCCATTATCTCCTGAAACGTGAGGCCTCCATTCCTCAGTTGGTAAGTCATGGGGACCACTTTTGCCACCATTCTCTAATGTACACACTTCCAAATCCTTCAGCATCTGAGCTGAAACAATTCCCACAAAGGCTGAGACACTCCCACCAGCCCTGGGGACTCAGAGACCCCTCATTCCCATCCCTCTGAGACTCAGGCTGGCACTCCTGGCAGACATTGGCTCACAGGCATACTAGACCTTCTCTGCCTCCCTACAGCGTAATTCCCACAGCCCTTACACACAGAGACTGCTATTCTCCTGACACCCAAGTGCCACCATTCTTGTTCCTGGGTTGGAACCATACTCCAATGGAAAATAGAAATATTCTGCCCTTCACAAGGCCGTCCCCAAATTTCTGAAATGGGAACAGCTAAACAGGAAGACACCCTGAACCTGTTCCAAACTAGGTGTGAGTTTAGGACTCTGACATTGATACCATGGAACAGGAGGCAGTGGGTCATAAAGAACATCAGAGTAACGCAGAGTCCTCCTGGTATGAGAGATCAAGGCCAAACCCAGGGTGAGCCTCGAGCAGCACATAATCCTTACAGGTGGGGTAATCCTCAGACGGGCAGAACATAAAAATGCAGACGATCCAAAGGCCACAGATGCTTCCAGGCCACTACTAAACAATCCAAAATGGTCACTTGCTCCTGTGGACTTGTAGGAATTGGAGATGGAGGCATCGTTTTTGTTTTGGTGAATGACAAATCCCATTCCCATTGTCTCTTCTGGTCAAGGAGCCTGGGAGATGGGTGTGGTTATTTGGGGAGTGTCTCCCCACAGCTGTCTTCTTTGCAATGGGCCATACCTACTAATTTTGAAAGACAGCCCATATTCACATGACTTTTAATATAGTATATTGTTGTAATTATTCTGTTTTTATTATTGTTGATGTCCTTCGGCGTTCAATTTACAAGTTAAACTTTATAATAACTATGTATAGAGAAAAAAGAATCTACCTAGGATTCAGGACTATCTGTGGTTTCAGGCATCCACCGTGAGTCTGGTAATGTATTCCCAGTGATGAGGGCATCGACTGTGATTGAAGACACAGAAGAGACATTGGAGAGAAGACCACGTGAAGACAGACTGGAGCAAGGTGTCTACATGCCACGGAGCAGAAAGGATTCCTACCAGCCTCCTTGATTTCCAAATCCCATTCTCCACAACTGTAAGAGAATAAATTTCCATTGAACAATAACATTAGAAATGAGAACAAGTTGTGTTGTTCCTCTCTACTGTCAATATATTAATAGTCACTTTCAAATGTAAGCACTCTAATGTAACTTGGAGAAGAGATCATTGTCTGTTCAAGGTCAAATTTTATCATTCAGTTGAAGTGTGTGTGTGTGTGTGTGTGTGTGTGTGTGTGTGTGTAATTACATAATTACAGGAGTAAGAGGCTGAAATAATTAATGATTGTGAAAGCCAGCAGGCTGGCAGGTGGGTTCTTCAGGAGAATGACTCTGAAGTAGATTAGAGTTCAGCAAATTAATTGGGGGAGCCCTCAGAATTCACTTGGGTAGGGAGCAAACAGGTGAGCCAAGGAGAGGTTGAACGGTGTGCACTTATAGTAAAGGCCTCAACCAATCCCACAGGGAGCCGGGGAGCTGGATGGCTCCACAGACGCATCCTGAATTGGAACAATATAGCTAGGCCTTATACTGCTCATTGACCTGTTAAACAAAGCTCTTTAGGCCAATTAAACTTAGCAGAGTTAATATGAGCAAAGAATGCTTCATGAGTTGGGCAGCTCTCAGAACCAGAAGAGGTTCAAAGAGCTCTGTCCAGCAGTGTTAGCCTGAACACAGAAGCAAAACAGAAATCACTTGATTGGCTACAGCCTAGTTTCTGCCTTGCTTGGGCGTGGTGTGGTTAACCATTTGCATTGATTCAGCAGGTCTTATCAATTATCTGCCTGTGATCCCCTGAAGCTTGGCTATTTGCTACAATATTACTGCCAAGTTAGTGCTATGGTGAGCGGATTCCCCCCAAAACACATGTTTTGCAAGGTTAATCCCCAATGCAACGGAGTTGATAGGTGGGCCCGGTGGGAGGTGTTTAGGTCATGAGAGATTCATCCTCATGGATAAATTTATGCTGATTATAAAAGGGCTTGGGGTTGTGGCTCAGTGGTAGAGTGCTTGCCTAGCCTGCCTGAGGCTCTGGGTTTGATCCCCAGTGCTACATACAAAAACTAAATAAACAAAATAAAAGAGCTTGAGGTCACAGGTTCAGTTTCCCTTGTCTTTTTACCCTCTTGCCTTCCTCCGAGTGATGACGAAGCAAGAAGGCCCTGGCCAGATGTTGGCACCTTGCTATTGGGCTTCCCAGACTCCAGAACTGTGAGAAACAAACTATTATTATTATTATTATTTTACAAAATAAATGGCCCAGTCTGTGATATTCTGTTTAGTAGCACAAAATGGACTAAGACTGTTAGCTTTTCTCTTGTTTGCGTACTAAGTTAGGTGGTTTGTTAGGGAACTCAAAGTGCAGCCAGCCTTGGGCACATGGCCTCCTGCGTGTTTTGACTCAGTAGACCCATCACTGGATGTGTGCTGAGCCGGAAGGGGCTGTGACCTCCGTCTGGTAGCTCCCTTGCTCCGAAGGGGGGTCTTTGTGAGGGAGGACTCAACTGCAGGCTCCCAGTCACCAATACTCCCAGCAACTACATGGACAGTACTCATGTCCAGAGCAGGCAGTCTACCCTCTATGCCATGTCTTTGACACCCAGGAACAATGAACAACTTCCACATAATCAAACAACTCATGAAATAAAACAGTGTGGTGTGTGTGTGTAGGTATACACTGATACATCAATATCGATATCAATAATAAGGGTGACTCAATTAGATACTATAATTAGGAAGAATATTTTCTCCTCTTGGAACCAACATGTGGATATAGAAACTGTAAATGATAACACAAGGCAGAACAGTAAAGACTAGAGAAGACAGAAACCCAGACCTCGTGTTTGCGCTAGGCAGTCTTTGTACCATGGTTTGGTATTCCCGCTTTCATATTACTAAAGGAAATAATCTTTAATAACTGTATTTGATATTTTAGTCATTTAATTCCTTTTGGGATGTACATCTTTTAAGAAAAGGTGTTATTTGAAAGTTCTTTATGTATGTGAAGATGAATTTTAAAAAGATGGATGACTTTGTTGGCTGAAATTTCTTGAAGTGGAAGTAAAACCCTCTAATATCATGTACAGCAACTTCTATGAAAAATCATCTTTGATCCAGACATTGTAACGAATACAGAGAGCATAAAAGAAACAGGAAAGTTTGGGGAATGAGGTGCCTCAAACGCATTTTGTTCTCACTAATCAAACTTCAAAACAACAGATTTTTAAAAGAATACTTTTAAAACTACATTCTTTATAGTTTTGAGTCCATTGAAGCTAAACCTTTAATCGAAACTGTCAAGTTTGCTGCATACTACTGACCACCGTTTTCAGAAGTAGAAGATGAGGAATTTTCAAAATTTGCATGAGCTATGATTCTTAAACATTCTTTCTGGAAAACATGTTTTAAAAAATTATTCTTTCTGGAAAACGTGTTTTGAAAAAGTGTTATTTATATTATACATAGAATTACTGTATGTACTGCCTCAGGATCTTGTATGTGAAACATTTGGGTATTAAACAATGAGGTGCCTTTTTAGTTGATTTACGACTACCTTAACTGTAACTTTGCTTGTTGCTGCGATATTTCTGGGTCTTGCCCGTAGTGGACAACACAGCACGTATGAATCATGGATGTACATGGAAAGGAAAATCATCATTCATGATGGAATAAGAAAGAGGCTGAGTGAATTAGAAATTACAAGCATATTATGATTTGTTCTCTCTTCAGTTCTGTTCAGAAATAGAGGGCAGCATTAGGCAGAAGAATTGCTGGTCATTAGCAGAAAGATGGTCACATCACATCTGATTATTCTTCAGCCAAAATTGACTCATGACCCACGGGAGACTTGGGCATGGCCTTCCCACAGCATCTGAGCAGCACGGTGAAGCAGGTCTTCTGTGTTCAAAGAGCTACCGCACACAAAGGAGACAGTATACTCTGCAGAAGAGAATCCCCACGTAGCGGGACTTCCCGATGGCCAGAGGTACTTGTGGGAAACAAGGTTTCTTTGGCAAACTTCCTGAAGAAGCCTCAGACCAATGTGCTCAGAGAGTGGAAGTACATGATCATGCTGTAGAAGCCTTGCTATTCTGCTTCCGCTAAGGTGCTGAAATAGGCGCGCAGCTCTTGAAAGTTGAGACAGGGATGGAAACCGAGGCATCATATTCACAATGTTGTCAGCTTTCCAGAACGTTCCCAGTGATTTCCACTTCCTGGTGGTCATTCATTCCTTTAGGCCGTCTCCCCAAGTATACCCTGGCCCTGCTGACTTGAGTATAACCTGGAACATGGCGAGGGATGGGATGTCATTGCCGAGATTGGATTACCAAGGGCTGTGACCTCTGTCTTGTTGGCAAACTCTTTGGGCTCCCTGGTTTTTCACATATGAATGATTAATGAAGTCCGTGGTTAGATTGTGAGCTGCCATTTTGGAAACGCCTATGTGGCAAGACACTGAGGGAAGCCCTTGGCCAACAGCCAGAAAGGAGCCGAGGTTCTCATTCCAACACCTCACGAGGAAACAAATGGTGCCTCAGAGCAGTGTGTGAGCTTGGAAATGGGCCATTCCCCAGTGGCATCTTCAGGGGAGATGGGGACCCCGAGTCAGCACCTTGATGCCTTCCTGGTGAGAAACTGTGAGCAGAGGATGAAACTAAGCTATGCCCAGATTCCCGACCCACGGAAACTATAGGATGATGGATGTGTGCCGTTGTAAGCTGCTTAATTCTGGGGTGATTTGTTACGTAACAGTGGATAGCTTGTATGATTTTGAGATCTTGAAGGTCAGTTGGATTGTTCTATTGTGCTATTTCTCATCCAAGATTTAAGGACAGATTCTACCCAAGTGATTATGCGATGTGTCAAGTGAGTGCAAGAATCTTAGGGAAAAAACAAGAGGGCAGGACTTTCTCATTTTTGACAGTGTTGCACCAGGTGAATCAACCCTTCTGCGAAGACAGTTACGAGTGTTGGTTAGAGGACTAAAAGGGTCTTCACAAAAACCCAAAGAACGTTTACATGTTAAGGGAGCCTTGAAGATCACGACGGAGACGCTCCTCTGGGGAGGAATTTCCCAGCTGAGATTTAGGAAGTGAGAACTTGGAGAAGCACACAGGGCGCTGGAAGCTGCTCAGACCCAGGAGCATTTGCTTATTCTGTCGACAGAAAATGAACTGCAGTCTTCAGCAGTCTCCTGGAAGGTACCAAGCTGGCAACATGGCACACGGGAGCCTCTGGAAGAAGGTTCTTCAGGGGCAGAAGGAAAAGGATCCCAGACAGATGGGCTCAGGCAAAGCACCAGGGAAGTACTAGCGCAGGAGTCTGGACCTCTGCAGAAACCAAGGGCACTCCAGGGACTTCAGGGAACACAGATCAAAGAAGGGACCAGAAACCACGTGCAGGTGGCATGAAGGGGCCCGACGGGACAGGCAGTGGTGGGCAGCCATGAACACCTGGACCTGATGGGCAGGGAAGAAGGACGGGACCTGAGGCAGGGAGGAGGGTGGGCACCAGTCCAGCTTGTGGACACAGGACAGCGCAGCTGCGGCCAGGACTGTGGGGAGGGACCCAGGGGGCTAAACACCTGCCTTTCCAAAAGCCCAGCGCTGCCTCCTGCTAATCCCAGGGGGCAAGGGGAGGCCAAGGACACAGTCCTGAGAGGCCAGCCTTCCTGGGAACACCGAGCAGAGAAGAGTGACCAGCAGACCAGAGGGTCGTGCCTCCTTGCCATTTAGCACCGTCCTTGTCCTCTGTTCAGACAGAGAAGCCCACCTGTCTAGCACAGAGGGGCGCCGTCCCAGGAGCTCAGCTGTCACAGTGGAGTGAGCCCCCCCCCCAGTTACGCTCCTAACTAAGGCACCTCTGTGCTTGTCACAGGAGACACTGAGATGAAAATGTCAGGGTGACTCCAAGGACCCCAGTCATCAGTGCTTCCTCTTATCATCCTGCCACAGGGTCCCGTGGGCGTTATTTGTAGATGGAGGTGTGAAGAGATTGCCCAGGGAATACTCTGGGTCCACTTCTAATTCTCCTTCATCCCCTGGTGTAGCAGCAACCCAATTTCCTCTGAGTAACGGGACCAGTCACCCTAGCCCAGTAGCCAGGGCCCTCTCTCTGCCTTTGGTCCAGCATCACGACTCGCCCCGGATGGCCCAGAGGCTCTCTCTGCTCCCTCTTCAAGGAACCAAGACTGTGTCCTCTGGGACAAGTGTCTCTCCTGCAGGCACTAGGAGCCCAAACCCACCCGCGCAGTTCAGGAAGCGTAAACACTAAGCATGCAATTAGGTGTCTCAAAACACAGGCTGAAAGGAACGTAAAGATCTTAACAAAGTTAAAGCTTTCAATAGAATCGGACAACACTTTATTCTTCAAAATAGAACGAGCGATCCAGTGTGAGCACAGGAGGCTGGTTTTATAGATGGGAGGGCTGAGGAAAGCAGAGACAGACAAAAAGTGGTTTTGCTGCTTCAAAGTTACTTTCCCCGTAAAGGTTAAAGGAGGGGCTTCCTGGTGGCGCCAGCTAGCGCTGGCCTGTTAGGGATTTGGCTATTATCCGTCTCTCCTAATTATTCAGAAGGTCAGATCAACAGTTTGGTTTTGGCTTGGCGACGTGGAACTTTAGCGTGAGTGATGCCATTTTGGTCTGGTCTGCTGGGTCGAGTGTGGGGACTGAGCCAGACCAATGGCCTCCTCTACATTCTACTTTGCAGGTGGAATAAGCAAGAAGGGTCAGTCCTGCTTCCACTTCTCAGTCTGGACACTGTGTATTCAGGCTCTGGAAATGCTACAGTGCATCGGAGTTGGTTTAGGGCAAATGCTGTTCTGTGGACCCCACCCTGCCCCTCCCTGGGTCCCCAAGATGGCACCACAGCGGAGCCTTCAGTAAGTCCTTCCCCCGTGACATTGACTCATCGGCTTCTGGGTGATGGGACATAATTTCACTTCTCTGTCCTCCATGTTCGTTTCTGATTCAGTGGGGGGGGGGCGTGGGCTCCTCCTTCAGCCGCCATCATGGTAAAGATAAGGGACTCTTCCAAGGTACCACAGAGGCTTTCTGATGTCTCCCACCTGTGTTTTGAGATGGGAATGCAAGGTCTGAGCTTATCTTTCTTTCTTTCTATACCAGGGATTGAACTGAGAGGCACTCAACCACTGAGCCACACCCCCAGCCCCTTTATTTTATTTAGAGACGGGGTTCTCATTGAGTTGCTTAGCGCCTCACTTTTCCTGAGGCTGCCTTTGAACTCACGATCCTCCTGCTTCAGCCTCCAGAGCTGCTGGGATTACAGGTGAGTGCCAGGCCTTATCTTTCTTAAGTCGGTCAGAGGCACACTATAGGCCATAATGGTCTTCATGGTGGCCTTTGTCACCAAGGTGACTGAGTGTCACTTAATCTCCCAGTACCTTGCCCTCTGTCTTATTCCACCATTGGTGACAATCTGAGCACTCCCAACACACTAACAATGACTAGGGGACTAAACCGCAGGGTGGGTATAAAGTAAGAGAAACAGTAATATATCGGAGATGCACAAAAAGAAATAAAGTGTTCTAATGTCCTATCTTGGAGAAGTTTAAATAAATTAGCTGCAGAGTTAAGTGTGTGCATTATAATTTTAGGATAACAAATAAATTTAGAGTATAAAAGTTCTGAACTAATAGAAGAGAAATTAACTAGGAAGGAAAAATTTTAGCCCAGCCACCCAATCCTAGGCCAGAAGGGAGGAGGAAATAAAAAGGAAATCACTGAAAATGGAGTATTTATCCCCAAATATGTTAGTATTTGCATTAAATGTAGCATAAGGGTTCTGTTAAAATCAATTTGCCAGGTTGAACTTCTCAAAATCCAACTGTACGCTTTTTACAGGACACATCTAAAATGTAAAGGTACAGGAATATTGGACTGAAAAGATAACAGAGTGGCAGGTGGCCACCAGAGGAGCTGAGGGACATAGTAAGGTCAGCTAAATAGACTGTAAAGAGGGCTGAGTCAGGGCTGGAGGAGTAGGTGGGGGTAGAGGGCTTGCCTGGCATGCAGGAGGCCCTGGGTTCAATTCCCAGCACTTCACAAACAAACAAAAAAAGGTAGTATCACAATGGTAAAAGTCTCAGTTCATCAGAGTATTAAAATACTCAGTTGGTACACACTGAATCGCAGCTCCCCAAATATATAAAACAAAAGTTGACAGAACTACAAAAAGAAATACAAATCACAGTGATGAGTTTTTAACATATTTTTCTTTAATGAGTAAATTGAACACGAAAAAAATCAGTGAATATATAGAAAATCTAAACAATATCATTAATAAATTGATGTAAGCAAAAGACAGACATTGTATTCATAACTGTCAGATACATACATTATTTTTAATCTGTAAATATCCATCATCTTTCATGTGTTATTAAAGTTCATGAGGACTATTATAAACATTGACCAGAGACTGAGCCACAGAGAAAAATCTCAACTTCATTCACAAGGTTCCCATCATAGAAAGTGTATTTTATGAACACTTTCCAGTTAAGGTAGAAATTTTAAAAGATGATTGGAT